GGGTTTTAGGCTTGGGTCACACTTTATTTGGCTCAACAGCCAAATTTCTAAATTTCTAAATTAAATTTCTAAATCAAATTTTAAATTTCTAAAACACCTGAGTATTCATCACTCAGCTCTACTTCAGCACTGCAGTTCTCTGAAAAGAAATACTTTGGGTTGCAGAACTGACCTTGATAGCCAGTTTTTCAGGAAAAACTGGGAGAAACACTGCTCTTTTGGTTCCATCTCTCATGGAATGTTGGACAAACATCCAGATTGTAACTTTTGGGTTTTAGGCTTGGGTCACACTTTATTTGGCTCAACAGCATCCAAATTTGTCTTTAAATTTCTAAATACTGAGTAAACACCTCAGTATTCATCACTCAATTCCACTTCAGCACTGCAGTTCTCTGAAAAGAAATATTTTGGGTTGCAGAACTGACCCTGACAGACAGTTTTTCAGGAAAAAACTGGGAGAAACACTGCTTTTTCTGATTCCATCTCTTAATGGAGTATTGGACAAACACAACCAGGTTGTAATTTTAGAGTTTTAGGCGATGCTGGTTTCAGCAGCTGCTTCCTCGTGTAGGAATTAACTCGGTGTTAATTCACAACCACCAGGCTCCAAGAGCAAATCCTGCTTTCTGCCAGCTCCTCCGTGGCCCTTAGCACCTGGGATCTCCTCCCAGGAGGGCTGGGGGTCRGAATTTTTTGGGATTGTGTCCCTGCCACGCTTCCCCCATTGGGAAATGAGAGCTGGGGAGCAAGGATTAGGGAGGGATGGGGTGGAAATGGCAGGAGCTGCTTCACCAGGACATTTCCAGCCCGTGCCACGAGCATGTGTGACCTTCAGTGGCTGTTCATGCTGCACCTTGCTGACATAAATCCTGCTGAATATTTAGTGAAGCAATTACAGCCCGGCTCATTTAAAGAAACAAGAGACAATCCAAAAATGCCTGTCTCTCCAGGGATGTGTGTGGCTCCCAGTGACCTTCCCTCTCCCCTCTGGAGCAGCTTTGTCCAGCAGGGCTGGGAGGGGCTGGTCTGGACATTGATGGTATTGCTGGATTTCACCCATTTCATGGGGTGGTTGGGATTGGAAAGGACCCTGCAGTGCCATCCCTGCCATGTCAGGGACACTTTCACCATCCCAGGGTGTTCCAAGCCCTGTCCAGCCTGGCCTTGGGCACTGCCAGGGATCCAGGAACAGCCACAGCTTCTCTGTACCCTGTGCCAGGCCTTCCCCACCCTCACAGGAGAGAAAAAAAAAGAATTGTGTCTGGCAAGAGTTTTGTTCAAACAGGTGAGGTTCAGGTGGGAGGTGTGGAAATGAGGTGRGACCCCAAAGCTGCTGCTGTGCCAGGGAGTTTTTTCAGCTTGGTGAAGGCAGTTCTGGAAAAAAAAAAGAGAGAAGAGTAGAGCCAAGAGGTGTTGGTGGCAGCAGGGGGAAGGTGTCACCCAGCCCATTCCCCTCCTGGTGTTCTCAGTGATGTGGAGGAGAAATGTGGGGTTTGCTGGCACCTCAGGAGTGTTTGGGCAGTGTCCTGTGCCCCCTGCCAGCTCAGAAAGGTCACTCCTGTCCCTTGCCATGCCCCAGCTTAGTGCCAGCCTCTCTCCTCCTGCARTGGGGAGTGCTGCTCCTTTTGTTTCCCTATTGATTAGCAGCCAATCCATACCTAGAGGTCTATAATGTTCCTATGATTTAAACTTTAACAGTTTCATTAACTGTCAAGTACCTCTAGAGCAAAGGAATCCCATATTTTAACTCCCCTCTCCTTGCCAGGATAAGATTTGTGGAAGGAGATTTCTTTTTTTTTCTTTTTTCTTTTTTTCCCGAAAAATAAATAAATAAAGCCCAGGCTTTCTGAAAAACCCTGAGGCCTCAAGATCTGACTAGGAAAGAAAGAAAACCATTCCAAGATATTTAATTGTACAGGGGGCTTACGGGATTGATCGAGAGCTTAGCTTTTTACAATAGTCCAGTGAATAAGAAATGCTCCTGACAAACGATCGATGATGGGATAATCACTCTTTATCCCCCCTCCTCATTGTTACCTTCTTTCTTCCAGGAGAACAGGGTTCAGAAGTCAAAAATCTTTATAGACGCTGCTTTTAAATTAAGCAGAAAATAGACATTGACATATTTGTTAATCTCACCTAAATCATTACTGGGCCTGGCCGGGTGGACTCGGTGGCAGGGGCTGGGATTCACRGGCTGGGCTGCCTCAAGTGCTGTTAAAACCAGGGAGCCTGGCAGTTCAGACTGGAGAAACAGAGATAATTTTTTATTCTGGAGGTTATAAGGGGAGCTTCTCTTAATTAAAACCACCTTCCTCGCATCCAAAGGGTTAGGTAACATTTATATTGGTGGGCACGTTAAAATATTCCTTCCCTGGGAAGGATTTCTGTCTGGATGGTCTCAGCTGTGCTTTAGAGGCTTCCTRAGCTGGTTCATAGCTGATCCTCATGCTCAGGAGCCTGAGCAGGAATCTCCCTGCATGAATTTGTCTGATCACCCTCTGTGAGCTCTTTTGGGCTCAGGACAGCAAATTCCAGCTGTGGATCCTGGGTGAAGTTGGTCCCTCTTGCTGGGGTTTGTGTGAAGCCTCTGCTCAGAGGTTTGAGCTGGGTTTGTTGAGCTGGGATTGCTCTGCTGGGTTTGTTGAGCTGGG